TACACCCCCTACCCATAATTGAGGAACACTTTAGTAGAGTAGCAGTAGATTTGATAGGCCCCCTCAAGAAAGCTAGCCCGTCAGGCAAAAAGTAAATTTTAACTGTGGTAGATTATGCCACCAGATATCCAGAGGCAGTGGCTCTGACCAACATCCACGCTGAAACGGTCGCGGATGCCCTCATGCGGATCTTCTCCCGGATGGGATTACCCAGGGAGATTATCTCGGATCAGGGTACCCAATTTACCGCAGAATTCACCCAACACCTCTGGAGGATCTGTGGCATTAAGCCTATTATCAGTGCCCCTTACCACCCCCAGACTAATGGGCTCTGCAAACGGTTCAATGGTACATTGAAGCAAATGCTCCGAACCTTCGCAGAGACCCACAAGGACTGGGAGCGATTCCTGCCGCATCTCCTATTCGCTTACCGGGAGGTGCCGCAGGAATCCACTGGGTTTTCCCCGTTTGAACTGCTATTTGGGAGGAGAGTCAGAAGCCCCCTAGATCTGATTAGAGAGCATTGGGAGGGGGACCGGAGCACAGATGGCACTCCCATCATACCATATGTGTTGGCATTCCGAGACCGCCTGGAAGCGTTGACTAGGACGGTAAGGGAAAACCTTCAGGCGGCGCAGACCCGCCAGCGCACGTGGTGTGATCGGGGAGCCAGGGACCGTAGCTTTCAGGTCGGGCAGAAAGTGTTGATTTTAAATCCTGTCCGACATGACAAGCTACAGGCCGCCTGGCCTGGAACAGAGATGTGACACCACCTATATAATCGGCCCCTGCACATGGACTGGAGGGCGACGCATGCTCCATGTGAACATGATGAAGCCCTACCAGGAGCGCTCCGAGGAGGTAACCGCCATATGTGCACCCAACTCTGATGAGTTTGACAGCTTACCTCTCCCAGATCTGCTGGGAGATGGGCAGTTGTCCGGAGATTTAGGGGACGTTGCACTGGGACTGAGCCCACAGGAGCGTATCGAGGTACAGCAGCTATTGGAAGAGAAACGAGACACGTTCTCTAATGTACCTGGTTATACCCCTCTGGCCACTCACCGGGTAGAGACCCGGGGCAACTACCCATGCGCCAGACCCCCTACCGCATCCCTGAAGCGGTGAGGGAGAATATGCGCAAGGAGATCAATGAGATGCTCCAACTGGGGGTGATTGAGTCCTCAGACAGTCCCTGGGCTTCCCCTGTAGTGCTCGTACCAAAGCGAGACGGCACGACTCGCTTCTGCGTAGACTACAGGAGATTGAATGAGAAAACCGTGTCTGATGCCTATCCCATGCCCCGGATAGATGAACTATTAGACAGGATGGCCAGGGGCCAATACCTCACTACTATTGACTTATGTAAGGAGTATTGGCAAATTCCTCTGGCCCCAGATGCCATCCCTAAATCGGCCATTTGGTTTGTACCAGTTTAAGGTCATGCCATTTGGGATGAAAAACGCCCCAGCTACTTTGGAGGATGGTGGACCGACTCCTGGATGGCTTCCAGGACTATACCTGTGCCTACCTGGATGACATTGCCATTTTTAGCAATACGTGGCAGGAGCACTTGGCCCATATAGGAGCAGTCCTAGACAGGATTAGGGAGGCTGGTTTGACATTGAAACTGGTCGAGTGCAGTATAGGGATGGCCGAGGTGCAATACCTGTGACATAGAGTGGGGTGCGGCAAGCAGAAGCCCGAACCAGCCAAAGTAGAGGCTGTGGCCCAGTGGCCCACCCCTAGGACTAAGTGTCACGTATTCATCCGCTTATAGAAATGTGGTTAATGACATTTACTGTCCACACAGGAAAAGTTGTGCCGAGCAGCAACCTAATCCACAGAAGGTTTAATGCTGAGCAGTAATTGTGCAAATGAAACCTGGTCTCATGTATTCATCCACTTATAGAAAAGTGGTTAATGACATTTACTGTCCACACAGGAAAAGTTGTGCTGAGCAGCAACCTAATCCACAGAAGGGTTAATGCTGAGCAGCAATTATGCAAATGAAACCTGGTAACTGACTTTGGGGTCAAAGGCCGGTTACAGCCTATCAGAACTAAAGGAGGGGTATTTAGGCCCAGTTCTCAGCCTGCTCAGTGCCCTGTCGTGGTTTCCCTTGTGGTTGTCCGAGAGCGCGTTCCTGTTTATAGTTTTCTACCTGGTTTTTGACTTTGGCTTTGTTTATTGACTTCTCTATATTCTGGTATCCTGACTCCTGGCTTTCCTCATCGCTGTGTCCCTTTCTGTGTTCCCTGACCTCGGCTAGTATTTTTGACTATTCTTTGTACGTTAAATCCGGCCATTCTAAGGACCGGTAATACGTTACTTATTTGTCATCCGTGCTGTACAGTTCTACGTGCTGGATCAAACAGTAATCCTGACATTACGACAGGGCCATAGATCCTGTAGAACTGTGTCAGCACATAGCTGCTTGCGAGAGGAAATTAGAGGAGAATGATCACCGCATGGATCAATTCACTCAGGCTTTAAGTACGCTTCTCGCTAGAACGGAGCATCTGCAGCCTGCAGCGTCTCCTCCTATAGCACCTCTACCCTGTGTACCTCCACCCACTGTTAATAGGACTCCTTGCATCTCCTTATCACCATCCCTACAGTTTGATGGCAATATCCAGGAATGCAGGGGTTTTCTTAATCAGGTGGAGTACCATTTTGAGGCCTCACCAGGGTCATTCCCCACGGACAGAGCAAGAATTGGTTATCTAATGAATCAATTAAAGGGCAAGGCCCTTGCCTGGGCTAATCCATTGTGGGAGAGTAATCGGAGCATAGCTCATAATTACCAGGAATTCCTTGCCGAATTCAAGCTCACGTTTGAGCCATTGGGTAGAGAGGATGACGCCTCCACTGCCCTAATGCACATCAGACAAGGTAACCGGTCTATCTCAGATTATGCTATTGAATTCCGTACCTTAGCTTCCGAGGTAGACTGGACTAACAATGGGTTAATCTCAGCATTCAAAAGGGTCTCTCAGAGACTATACTAGATGAGATAGCCGCTAAAGAATTACCTAAGAGTCTTAACGAATTTATTACGTTTGTCATGCATATTGATAATAGGTTAAGACTCAGAGAAGTCACCAGAAGCAAGACCAGACGTATGGCTATGTCCCTAGCACCTCAATTCTCTAAACCTGTTTTGTCTAACCTCCCTGTACAGTCCGAACCCGAACCTATGCAGTTGGGGGTCACTAGACTGTCAGAGGCTGAAAAACAGTATAGGAGAAGGGAGGGGTTATGCCTATATTGCGGTAGAAAGGGACATATGATAACTAATTGTCCAGTGCGTCCAGAAAACTTCCGCACCTAAGAACCTTAAGGGGACAGATCTTAGGTGTGATGGAGTTGTCCTCTAACAAAAACAAAAGTAGATTCCTCCTTGAGGGATCTATTTCCCTTGATAACAAGAAGTTTTCTTGCAGTGCCCTAATGGACTCAGGTGCTGCTGGAAATTTTATTGATGTCCAGTTTATTAGGGGTTATGAGATACCGGTCAGGGAGAGACCTACGCCGCTAGCTGTAGAGGCTATTGATGGTAGACCACTCACACAACCGCTTATAACCCACGAAACTGTCCCTATTACGATCTCCATTGGGGCCTCCCATAGGGAGGGGATGACGTTTCAGGTTATTACTTCTCCATCATGTCCTATCATATTAGGGTTTCCGTGGCTGAGTAAGCACAATCCCTATATTGACTGGGCTAATGGGGAGATATTAGAATGGGGTAAAGAGTGTATGGGGAGATGTATAAAACCAGTACTAAAGAGATTGGATACTATTGGCCTTCCCACTACCACTCCCCAAACTCCTGGAGTTCCCATACAATACCGAGAACTTCAGGAGGTGTTTAACAAGGCTCAATCCGATGTATTGCCTCCCCACAGAGCATATGACTGTGCCATTAACCTGTTTCCAGGTGCTATGCCACCTAAGAGGGCAGTTTATGCCTTATCTCCCCAGGAGAGTAAAATAATGGAGGAATACATCAAAGAATCCTTGAGCAAAGGGCACATAAGAAAGTCATCCTCACCAGCTGGTGCAGGATTCTTTTTTGTTGAGAAAAAGGGTGGTGAGTTACGTCCTTGCATAGACTACAGGGCACTTAATAAAATCACTGCAAAAAAATGCATACCCTATCCCACTCATTTCCGAATTGTTCGATAGACTTCAGGGAGCTAAAGTATTTACTAAGCTTGACCTTAGGAGTGCTTACAATTTGGTTAGAATTAAAGAGAATAATGAGTGGAAGACGGCATTTAATACCTGTAGTGGACACTATGAATATCTGGTAATGCCATTTGGGTTATGCAACGCCCCGGCCGTATTCCAAGACTTTATAAATGACGTACTCAGGGAATTCATTTACTCATTTGTCTTGGTTTATTTGGACGATATTTTGGTGTTTTCCCCTGATCTTCAAACTCACCACTCCCATGTGAAACAGGTTCTGCAGACGTTGTTGAAAAATAAACTTTATTATAAATTCGAAAAGTGCATATTTGACCAGCCTGAAGTCCACTTTTTGGGTTACAACATCTCTGCATCGGGATTTCAAATGGATCCTAAAAAACTAGTGGCTGTACTTCACTGGCCATTACCCTCTGGTTTAAAAGCCATTCAAAGGTTTATTGGTTTTGCCAACTATTACAGAAGATTCATCAAGGGATTTTCTTCTGTAATAGCCCCAATCACAAATATGACTCGCAAAGGGGTTAGTAGCACGGTATGGTCCAAAGAAGCTGTGAATGCTTTTGAGACTCTTAAACAAAGATTTGCCTCTGCGGACATACTAAAACATCCCGACACTAGTAAACCTTTTATATTGGAGGTTGATGCATCCGAGACAGGGGTAGGGGCTGTTCTCTCTC